TATACATATGATAATCGAGCATGTTAAAAAGGTGTCTAAACTTTTGTATATGAGCGGAGGCGGAAGGCGGAAATTTACCACTTTCTCGGCGGAATATCCCTGTGACGGAAAAATACCAAACGGCGGACGCGGAATTTTACCTAGGACCTCTTTTTTCCGTATGTTAATTGGAATGAACAGCTAGAACGAAAAAGAGAATATTCGTGCATAGTTTGTATTGAACATTGATTTGTACAGGCAGCTATACTTTAGTGTAAATGTTCATTTACTCTTCAACTCATAAAATCTTTTATTTTGAATTTACTGCACTATTCATGAACTTGATTGCTTTTCTCAAATACTACCGAATAAAATAAGTCTCATTAACAGTAACGTTTTCTTGAAATGTAGGAGAACGCAAAGCAGTTGACTTGAGGTTTAAGATAGACTGCTTTTTCAAAAAGACTAGAGTCTAACTATTAAGTTATTTGGTTCCAATAGGAGCTCTGAACAAAACACTACATCCTTCTGGATATATCATCTATTGGAAAAAATAAAATGTTGATGATGAATTCAGAAACAATATTGTTTGACTACTACAACTTTCCAGCTTTTTCTTCGAATCGCAGTATAGTCAGAGTTACGTAGATATATCATTTACAGTCAGATGTAAAGGAGATGCTTTTTTAATGTTCGAAGTGAAAAAGATTTTCTTTACCAACAAACAGCTGATACCTGCTTTTTGTTGAAAGATAGCTAGTCGTAGCATATCGAAAAACTATTCGTGTTTGACTTCCAATCAGAGCTTTCGCGACCAGTTAGACATTGGGAGGGGTGGGGTGCTCCATTGAGACAAGAATTATTTTTTTTAGAGAACACAAAAAAATGCTTCTGCCGGGAACAAAATTTGGGATGATGGTGCCGCATTCTCTTTTCGCTCCGACTGTTCATTTCAATTAACATACAGAAAAAAGAATATGTACAGAGAATATGTACAGAGAAAAATGGCGAAACAGAATAAAAAGCGCTACTTTCAACGTAAAAGCAATTTTCGTTTCTTTCTCCAAAACTAAGAATCGCCTGGGAAAGGGTTAGCATATCTGAAATCCTCATAAAATTGCAGATAAAAAACGTCGTTCGAGGAATGCAGTGAGGACTCGAAAATAGATCCTCGCCGAGGGCCCATCGAAAGCATATTTTCGCGCACTCGAAGTACCCCTCGAACAAGTGATCGGGTAACCCACTCCCGACCCCAGGAAAAGTGACCTGTTTTGCTACGACAAAAAAACAAGGTATTTTTCATGCAAATATTTAGGGATGACACTGTTTATGTTGGCATGCTTCAGGCAAGCGGAAAAAAGTGTGAAATATATAAGTAGACTACCAACGAATCAAGTTAATATCCTGGTAATATTTTTTTAACTGGAATACTTAATTTGTTTCAGATCAACAAATAATCTTAAATCTAAAGATACTCTGTTCAAACCTAAATATTTAAACTATTAATACATGTTAGATGAGGTTATGCTTGACTATTTGCCTTTTGTTGTTTTCTTGTTAATGACGCGAACAAGCATGTAAAATCCTCACCTCACCCTCACTTCTTGGCCTTCTAGACTCAATTTCAGATATTGCATGTCTATAGTATTGAGTTTTGTGCCAATTCTACGAATCTTTTTTGCAATTTAGGATATCTACGGTGACACAGCATTGCATTATACAGTAGCGAACAATAACCGTCCATTGACAAGGTTTTTAATTGAAGAATGTGAGGCTGATGTTAACGGTGGTCTTGAACAACGCCCAAGTCCGTTAGACATAGCTATTTTTAAACAAAATTTCGAATTACAAACTCTTTTGATTTCACATCGTGCTCGATCACGTTTACCTATCAAACGTATTCGACATGGTACAGTACAATCGAGTAAGTGACTATATTGACCCTAGACGAACTCTTTTCGTTATTTCCGGTAAGAGTCTTATCCGAGTCTTCTCGGATACTTACATGAGAAGTCCACACGAAAATGGCAAGAATTTCGTACGAATCCGATAAGACTCAGGTAAGATTTAAATAAGAATGAGCTATGACTTTGATAAGACGCTCTTATCACTCCCTTATGCAATTCGTACTAAAAGCCAGACACCTTTTATTTTGCAGAAGCACATAGTATATAAGCACCACGGATTTCTTGGAAACTTTTTAAAGTTTCTTCAAGGTAGGTAAGACTGGTCGTTTTGAGAATGCCGCGCCTATTACACACTCACTCATGAACTATACAGCTAACTAAAGAAGGACAAAAACATTGAAAGTTTTTATCAGTCCTTGCGCTGTTCTTTTTGGATTCTTGCAGGATTCATAACTGATCCTTATCTGGTTTTTATCAAATTCTTGTCACTTTCGTGCAGACTTCTTATGTAAGAATTCAATAAGAATCTAATAAGATTCTTATACGAGTCATATCAGATTCTTATAAGTTCCTTATCAGATTTCTATCAGATTCTTTTGTAAGAATCGGTCACTAGGGGGATAATATCAAAAATATCCGCTAAGTCTCTTTCAAATAAGACAAGACAAAAACACGAGTTTCTTTATTTAGTTCGCATAGCGAATATGCCAATCAGAAAAGTAGAAGTTCATTACTTTTAAACGTAAACGGAAATAATCATTCCCGCTATAGCTTGTTAAGACAACGTTAAAAAATTTTTGGATTAGGATGGCAATTTAAGCCAAAGAGGTCAGGTCAGCTAAAGTGGCGTTCTTAAACTGTAATAAATAATCTTTTTTCTTATTCTGATTAGGTCTTGAAAGTCTACCCTCTCCTATAATTATATGGTATGATCATACGTTAGGATATGGAAGAACTACATTCGAACTCGTTCGGCGAATTGATCATTCAGTACTGCTGCTTAATGATCCAGATTTACTTATGAATTTATTCAAGCAAATAACACTAAAACAATATTTCTGATTGTGTCAAACGATAACTGCCTTTCAGATGTTGTGAAAATCGTCTATACTTTTCCTCATGTTTTTTCGCTTTATTACGTGGAAAATGGCAATAATTCAACAGATACATTAAGGCTTCATCATTCTCCTAAAGTACGTAGTGTATTTAATCAAAATTTATCATATACAATTGCCATAGACTTATTCGTATATTGGAACGAAAAACGTAATGAATACGAAACAGCCGGTTACCTTGACTTAGCAAAAGCTAGTTATAATCAATCGCAAAAATTTTATTACAAAAGTATTGAATTATTGAACAGTTGATATTCAATTTAAAAATAGAGCCGATTTTGACATTTTCTCATTGTATTTAATTAAAATGTGTAATGTTTTCTCTCAGTAAACTAAAATAGATAAACTTAGTTAAAACATGCTATTAGAACAGTAATCGCACAAAGATGCCAAATGAGTCATAAAAAACAAGAAAAGGACGGTCGTGTGAAGAAACACCGAGTAAATAAAATTAATCGAGTAGGTAGTAATAAGCGATATTTTTCCTCTGTAGAAGAGAAATCAACATTTGAACTAAAATACAAAGTTTGTTCTCTTTCATTTCGTTTGTTAAAAACAAATGGCTGTGGAGATGTGCTAATAGCTGTACATCGCTCTATCCCTGTTCAATGTGTTGATATGTTTCAAAAATGTTTAAATGTTAATGTTCTTGACATAGGTGTGTCATCTGATAAGTTTCAACTAGCTACATGTTATTCTCCTCCAAAAGAAAAGTTACCTCTTTCTGTTTCTGATCAAATTTTAAAACGAAATTGTAATACGATTTTACTCGGTGATTTAATGCTAAACACCTGTCGTGGTGAAACTCTACTGAAAATCAAGAAGGTCGTGCTCTGTTTAACTGGTTATCATCTAATTCCCTTGAAATGGTAAACGAATATGTTCCTACTTCTACTCCATCAAGTGCAACGATTGATCTTGTTCTAGCTCCTATGCAGATAATATCAACTGTATCTTCGTTCTCTGTTCTTCCGGCTATGGGTAGTGACCATTGGAAACATTTGTTCGCGGACGATCTGTCTGTTCTTGTTTCTCCTTCTGCTACTTGGTCGTCCCAACTTCTTATACCTAGTCTTGCTGAGCAAATTAAAGGTGCTGTCACTTAAATTCAACCGCGTGGACTCAACCTTGAGAAAAACGAATTTTTGATTTGCTTTTAAGAAAAACCGTGGCTCACGGAAAAAAAGAGTTGTATTGTGAGTCTATCCACTGTCTTAAAAACATACGAAAAGCGTGCCAGAAGAGCCGTTAAAAGCGGTTATTCATTCTTAATTAGAGTCACAACTTAAAGTTGTTGTCGATAGACGGTACGACATTTACTTATAGAGAAAATCCAATTTTGTTCACAAAGACAATTTATACGCCTATTTCACTCGGAAAGTGTCAGTGACCTCGACGAAGACGGCTAGAAACTTGATACTTGTATAAATATTTTGGTGCACTACACAAATATGGCAACCTAATAAAATGAGAAACTAGTTTTTAAATCTATTCTAGCCTAGTAAGTTCCAATCTATGGCACACATCCACCTTCTAAGATCTTAAGTACCTCACATTTAGAAGTTATTGTAAAATATTCAGATGCGTCGTCTTTGATAGGATTGTAATTGAAGTTGATTACCTAGTTGAGCTGTCATATCTACAAACATTTACAATGCCGTGGTCTCTTATATTGAAAATTAACTGGTGTTAAATGTTTACTTATAGATAAAGAAATCAATTATATCTCAGAATATGTAGATATTTTTGTACATTCCTCCATAATGAGTCTATACCATACATCATCAATCAAATACCTGTTGGTTTAGCTGAATATTATACTTGTTAATCTAGGTGCTCGGTATAATATTCCAATTGAATTGTGGATACCTCAGAATTATCCATACTCGGCTCCCATGTGTTACGTTAAACCAACGCCAAATATGTATATAGCAGTGAATACACATGCAGATCAAAATGGAGCCATTCACATTCCTTATTTAGAAAACTGGAATCAAGTAAGCTTATGAATAGCAAATTAAAAGATAGTATTACATTAGAATCGAATGTGATAAGATCCCACGTCTTGCAGAAAGAGAAAATCTGCACGAGTTCTTTAAGGATTTTTTTTCTTGAAAAATTCTTGATCAAGATTTATGAATACCTCTGCACTTGATGTCCTCGAAAAAACTTGATCAAGATTTACTACGGTTCCAGGTCTGATGTATCTTGAGAATTCTGTATCAAGATCTTGTTGTTGTCTCTATCACCGTTTTTGTTTTGTAGTGTCTGTAAATATATATATATATAAAAGCATCCGTACTGTAA